AGAGCACGCTGGGCCAGCGCGGGGGTTCCGACCCGAAGGAGCGCCTTGGGGCTGGTCTGCGACCTGCGGCGTCCCGGCCCCGCGCCGGTCCCTCGGTTTAACTCTGGGACACGCGGCTCCGCGAGGTTAGGAGGCGGTTCAAGGCCGCGCCTGCGTCGGAGCCGTGCCCGCCTGACTGCCAGGGCCGCGCGCGGGCTTTCCTGGGTGGAAGCGCGCTCCGCCGCGGGGCGCTCCGGGCTCTCATACCACGTCCTCTGCCCAGCACCCAGTTCCTCGCAAGTGGTTCGCGCTGTGCAGTCCACAGAGCAGCGCCCCGTCGGTCACCTCGCCTTCCTGCAGCTCTCTCAGTAGGTCAGGGGCGGGCTTGCCTGTGCACCAGGCCCAGCTCTCACCTGTTTTTGTAAATAAAGGTTTATTGGAATAGCCACGACCGTTCCTTTCACAGGTTGTCTAGGGCTGCTTTCCCCGGGAGGGCAGAGAAAGCCTGGCCCAGAAAAAACTACAATATTTACTAACNTAGCCACGACCGGTCCTTTCACAGGTTGTCTAGGGCTGCTTTCCCCGGGAGGGCAGAGAAAGCCTGGCCCAGAAAAAACTACAATATTTACTAACCAGTCCGGTCCAGAAAAAGTCTCTGCAGCCTTGCACCCCATTATTCCCATTTTATAGATGAAGAAACTGAGGCATTAAGCTTGAGCAGGGTGCCTAGCTCGCGTGCACCAGGTCAGAAGGGGACTCCTGTCCCTGGGCATTTCCCATTACAGCTTCTGCCTTCCTACAAATTCAACCCAGTGGGTCTTGCTGATCTTCCTAAGTGCGTCTGGCTTCTGTGTCTCTGACAATGTTGAAGTTGGCAAGAATTGCGAAAAGGGTGGACAATACAGGAATCCAGATGCTAAAATAATTCAAGAATGAGAGAGAGACCAGGAGGTGGGCGGCTAATAGCAGCAAGGACGGTGGTGTACTGGACTGGTCTGATGGAATGCATTTCAAAGGACCAGGGTTTGTGGAGAAGAAAATGGTCATGGGGAGTAAAAGAGGACACCTATTCTACCCTGATTTTCATGGAACATGAGGAATAGAATGGTTTCACTTAAGGCTATGGTGTCCTCAGGCAAGACAGCCAAGTTTTGGTGAAAACAAGCAAGAGAAATGAATGTTCAAAGAAGGAGGTGAAGGTGAACGTTCAGAGGAGGAATTTGCTGATGATGGACCAAGAATTCTAAAGGTTACAGTGAAGTTTGGGAAGCCTGTAAAGGGTGGGTGATTGGGACAAGATTAGGGGATAAACAGGAAATAAATACAGGCATAAGCACCATGGACATGAATTCCAGGACATCTGTTTTTTTCTCCCCTATTATAAATGAAAAAATACACATAATATTTACCATCTTGAATATATTTAAATGTACATTTCAGTGGTATTAAATACATTCATAGCATTGTGCAGCCATCACCACCATCCCTGTAACTCTTTTCATCTTGTAAAATAAAAGCTCTATGTATCCATTATACACTAACTTTTTATTTCCCTGCTGCACAGCCCCTGGCAACCACCATTCTAGTTTCTGTCTCTGTAATTTTGACTACTCTTTTAAGTATCTCATATATGTGGATGGAACCATACAGTTTTTGTGTGTTTTGTAACTGGCTTATTTCACTTAGCATAATGTCCTCCAGGTTTATTCATATTGTAGCATTTCCTTCCTTTTTAAGCTGAACAATATTCCGTTGTATGTGTACAGCACATTTTACTTATTCACTCATCCACTGATAGACACTTGGGTTCCTTTCACATTTTAGCAATTGTGAAGAATGCTGCTATGAACATGGGTATACAAATCTCTCTTCAAGACCCTGCTTTCATTCTTCTGGGTGTATACCCAGAAGTAGAATGCCTGGATCATGTGGTAATTCCATTTTTAATTTTTTGAAGATCCAGCATACTGTTTTTCACAGGGGCTGCCCTATTTTACATTCCCACCAACAGTGCACAAGGGTTTCAATTTCTCCACATCCTTGCCAACACTTGTTATTTTCTGTTTGTTTTTGTTGTTGTTGTTTTTTTGGTATTTTTGTTTTGTTTTGTTTTTAATAGTAGCCACCCTAATGGGTGTGAGGTGGTATCTTGTGGTTTTGATTTCCGTTTGATTTCCATTTGAATCATTTGATTCCTAATGACTAGAAATGTTGGACATCTTTTCATTCATGTGCTTACTTACATTTGTATATCTTCTTTGGAGAAATGTCTACTCAAGTCCTTTGCCCATTTTTTAAAAAAGATTTTTTATTGATCTTTAGAGAGAGGAAGGGAGAGGGAAACATCAATGCGAAAGCAAAACATGATCAGCTGTCTCCTGCACACCCTGTACCAGGGATTGAACCTGCAACTGGGCATAACCCCCGAGAGGGAACTGAACCCAGAAATCTTTCTGTGCACAAGACAATGTCTAACCAATTGAACCACACTGGCCAGGGCCCCTTTGCCCATTTTCGAATCAAGTTTGTTCTCCTGTGGTTGAGTTTTAGGAGGTCTTAATATACTCTGGATATTAATCACTTAGATATGTGATTTGTAAATATTTTCTCCCATCCTGTGAGTTTCCTTTTTATTCTGTGGGTATTGTCTTTTGATGCACAACATTTTCATGAAGTCCAATTTCTCTTATTGCCTGTGCTTTTGATGTTATATACAAAATGTATTTGCCACATCCAGTTTTATGAAGCTTTTGCCCTGTGTTTTTTCTAAGTTTTATATATTACATTTTGGTGTTTGATTCAGCTTCAGTTAATTTTTATATATGGTGTTAGGCAAGGGTCAAACTTTGTAGGTTTGTGTTTTGTTTTTTTTGGTATGTGGATATCCAGTTTCCCCAGCACCATTTGTTGAAAAGATTGTCCTTCCTCATTGAATGGTCCTGTCATCCTTGCCAAAAATCATTTGACCATATTTTGAAGGGTTTACTGCTGGACTCTCTAGT